CACCCCACATCCCCGCGCCCCTTTCGACGCGGTTGCAGTTCCCGCTGTCCTTCCGCCCCACTTGTTTATGGCGCGACCAATGGCGAAAGTGATTGTTAACCTGTGTTGGAGTGGCTGGCGCGAGCCTTGACGCAAGCTGAATCGCCACTCGCAGCGCAAATCATCGTCCTCCCTCCTTGCCCTCCCATCGTTTCGTCCGATCCCTTCGTCCTCGCTGTCCCCCCTTATCGGTTGCCCTTCGTTTCGCGGGCTTCACCTACCACGCGTGGCAGGGGATGAGTATACCCCCCGAGAAAATGTGCAATCGAAAACGAAGAGGGCGGGCGTCCAGGGTTTGGGATGCGCATATTGAATGACGCGCGAGCAGATGAGAACTTACAGTATTAAACTGGTTGTTGTCGTTGGTGTTGTTAGTTGTTCGTTGTTTGTTGTTTGTTGTTTGTTGGTTGTGCTCTGGTGGTTGTTGCTTCCTGTTGTTTGTTGTTGTTGTGGTTGTTGTGGTTGTGATTGTTGTTGGTGTTGTTGTGGTTGTTGTTGTTGTTGTTGTTGTTGTTGTTTGTGCTGTTGTTGTTGTTGTAGTTGTTGTTGTTGTTGTTGTTGCTGTTGTTGTTGTTGTTGTAGTTGTTGTTGTTGTTGTTGTTGTTGTTGTTGTTGTTGTTGATTGCTGTCGTCGTCCCGCCCGCGGCCCGCCCTCGACCCGCCCCGCGACCCACCCCGCGACCCACCCCGCGACCCACCCCGCGACCCACCCCCGACCCATCCCGCGACCCACCCGCGAGCCACCCGCGACCCAACAGCAACCCACCCGCCGCCCAGCCGCGACCCATTTGCGATTCACCCGCGACGTACCCACATTGGTTTAACGGAAAAATCGGCCCCTGCGGCGGGCTCGTTGTGTAGTTTGTGCAACTTTGGCGCCTGCGGCAAGCTTCTCCGGAGTCTCGCAGACCGCCGACGTCCCCACCGCCCCCTCACTCTTATCCGCATCTGCGGGGTGCTGCGTTTATGGTGCAAACTATGCGGTCACCGCATAGTTTGCACCATAAAGCGCACCGCCTGCACCGGGTGCAGGCGGTGCGCTTTAAGCTCTGCGGCTGTCCACGGGGCGCCCACGAGGCGCCCACGGGCAGCGACGGACGGGCACAGGGCGAAACCTTGGCGGACTCGCCCCGTGCACGGGGCGCACGCAGGGCCACCAGGCGGCCACGGTCGGACACCAGGCGAACCCGGTGAACGCACCCAGCGCACGGGGCGCCCACGAGGTGCCTAAGACGCACCTCCCCCGAGGGAGGGAAGGGAGAATCGAGGAGGTCCGAGGATCGAGGGTCGGTTTTTTTTATAGCCATTTCTGGGGCTGCGGACCTAGACCCTCCGCATGGGCAGTGCGGCGCCATGTGCAGCCCGGTCTTCTCCATCCGGACTTCGCCGAGGCACCGCCGATGCATCGAGTGGCGAGCTCCTCCGGCACCGTCCGTTGTGGCCCCATTTTTGGAGGCCTGCATGGATCGAGGGTCGAGGTTCAACTTTTTTTGCTCTTTCTGGGTCTCTGGATGCACCCATACGTGTAGCATCGGACATCTCTCGATTTCCTTCCTCGCGGTGGACTCGGATTGCGAAAGTCAGCCCCATGTTCGCTTTTGGCGAGGCTGGGATTTACACGCATCCACCGCCCGAGGAACCGAGTTTCCTGGGCCTCGGGAGGCGGTGGATCGATCGAGGAAGTCGCCCCCGTCCTGCTGGTCCGAGGCATGTCCATGTTCCCTTTAAGTCGGGCCTGCCCCTCCACAGGAGGAATATTTTAAAATAGTAGAAATATGTTTTGGGGACGATTGTTTCACTATTTTTGCGAATTGTTGTAGTATGGCTGTTGTTGAATTCTCATTTCTGAAGAATAATTATTGTTGATCCCCCCCCACCGGTGCATATTGTTTTTCTCAATCACAGTGTGTCCCTCGACGCTCGCACCCTGTTTTTTGACAGGGAAAGTCTTCCTGCTCAAACTGGCCTCCTGGCCCCCGGGTTACAACAACAACGGCTCCCGCCTGAGACTTCCTCACAATTTAGGCAGGACCCCCGCTCCCGCCCGAGATTTCCTCGCATTTTATTCAGGAATCGCGCTCTCGCTTGGGACTTCCTTACAATTTATTCAGGAATCGCTCTCCCGGAGCTGGAGTCGCGCTCTCGCTGGAGACTTGCTTGCAACTTACTGAAGAATAGCCTTGCGTTGGAATTTCCTGCAATTTGCCCAAGCGCCGCGCTCCCGACACCCAGGCACCCAGGAGTCGCGCCCGTTGTGGCCCCATGTGCATGCCCTTCGTGGCCCCGCTGTCGCCATTTGTGTCCCCCTCATTGTCCTACGTGGCCCAGTTGCTACCCTCAGTGGCCCCATAGTTGCCTTCTGTGGCCCCGCATTATCTGCACTTCGTGGCCCCCGCTCGTTCGCACTCTTCGTGGCCCCATACGCATTCCCTTCGTGTCCCCGCTGTCGCCCTTCGTGGACTACTTCGTGCTCTTCGTGGCCCTGCTGTCGTTCTCTCTCGCTCTCGCTTTCGCTCGTCGTCGCCGTCGTCGCCGTCGTCTTCGTCGTTGTCGTCGTCGTCAACGTGGTCGGTCCCCTGTCCGTCCCCCTTGGGTTCGGGTCAACGGTCCGCGGCCGCCCCGCCGATCAGCGCTGCCGCTGGCCAGGCCGACGGTCCGCGGCCGCCCCGCCGCTTGCCGGGGCCCGGCCTGCAGGGAAGAAAGGTATACCCCCCAAAAGGGGTTCGATCGAAAACGAGGAGGGCGGGTATCGAGGGTTTGGGAAATACGCGTTTTTGGACACTCGAGCATATAAGGGCGAACAGTCTTAAAATGATTGTTGTTGTTGTTGATGTTGTTGTTGCTGTTGCTGCTGTTGCTGTTGCTGTTGCTGTTGCTGTTGCTGTTGTTGTTGTTGTTGTTGTTGTTGTTGTTGTTGAACATTAATACTTCTCAAGAATAATTATTGTTGGGGCCCCTGGTGCACGACCCCCCCGCCGCGCCTAGGCCGCAGCCTCATTTTCATCATTTTCGTGAGGAAGTCTCAGGCAAAACGGGTTGGTCCGGATCCGGTTGTGTTGTTACGATCGGTTTTCCCTTGCAAAAAATAAGCTAAAGTGGACATTTCTTGTTCTAACATAACCAAACTTCAAGAATCCCTTGCAAAAAATACGGTAAAGTGGACATTCGCGCGCGCAAGACGAAATCCTTCCAAAACCTTAGTTTTCGTAGCGATTTTAACATAAAAACATCAAAAAAACAATTTTTTTTCAAAAAAAAATCAAAATTTCATCCCGCGCGCTCTTGCGGATTCGTAGGAAACCCAACACTTTTTAATCATTTCTGTCAAACGGGCTTTTGCGAGCAACTTTTTCGAACTTCTGCAACAACGGTTGCGCACCTGCCAGGGCCATCATCCCTGTCAAATAATACCATGCGGGACACATTCGTTTTTTCTTCGCGCGCGCACGCCGTCGTCGTCGGCCGCGGGGCCCTGAATAGTAGCCACGGTCGTCCGCATGCCACGAAGTGAAGTGTCCGAACGTCATAGGGCGGGAAGCTGGGTGTGGGTGGTGGCGAAGAGTCGTTTGGAAATTTGGTAGAGCTTGAACCGGCCCCCCCACAAAGTGGGGGTATTGCCCGCCTCCTATGAAAACCCTGGCACTGGTGAGAACGGTGTGTCCCCACGTGCTAGTAATTGTTGTTGTTGTTGTTGTTGTTGTTGTTGTTGTTGTTGTTGTTGTATATGCATACATACATACACACATACATACGTTGTCAATATACATATATATATATATATATGTATATATAATCCCAAAATCCTCTTGTAAGGGGGACAGGCCCGACCTAATGCTCCCTGGGGGCCTGGGTGGTCATTTGCTTAGGCGGCGGTTGAGCCGTGAGAGTCGTAGCTGATCGCGAGGTGGGAGGTCTCCAGGGTGCGAGGCCAGGTTTTTATTACACAGGAAGAATCGGGCGAAGAGAATTATGCACATGCACCGATCCTGTCAAGGCCCATCCTTGACCCAGGATCGGTGCATATGCCTTCCTGGCCAAGGCAGGAGGGCGTATGCACCGATCATGGGCTCAGGATGGGTCTGGCCAGATTCGGTGCATGTGCATAGTTCTCTTTCCTCTAGAAGAAGGAACAGCGCCATCAACATAAACTTTTGGCTCTCCGCGCGGATTTATTGGATCTGAGCCGGGGCCCCCTTGGCGGCGCCTCTGGCGCCGCTCCCATCACGCTCCGCGCGCCAGGGAGGGGTGTCCAGCGCGGATGCAAGAGATCCGCGCGGAGCGCCAAATGTTTATGTTAATGTAGTTTTTTATGTGTTTGTTTGTTGTTATTGTTTTCTCCTCTTCCAACATAGTAAAAACCAGGCCTCGCACTCTGGGGACCTCCCATCTCGCGATCAGCTCTGACTCTCATGGCTCCACCCTGGTCTCCCCGTCGCCATCCAGATCTGGGGTAGGAGTAGGCAGGCATGAGCAGAGTTAGGTATGGTATAGAACCTGGGGCGACATGCGGTAGGTTCGTGTTGTGTTGACGCGCCGCGGCCCAGTCGCGGGCGTTCAAGGTTGAACGCCGCCAGTGGCCCAGCATCGGCCAATACTGAACGATCTGGCGATCGCAAGGCCAGCCGGTAGTTTAAGATTGAACGATCCACACGGTATCAGAAGCACGACGCGACCTTGCTCTACGTGTATTCCTTCAAGCTTCAATCAGCAGACGGCGTCGTGGATGCCCCGCTGATCGCGTCGGCTTATGCGGCCGCGCGGCCGAAGATGTGGTGGAGGAGGGGAGGCAGAATTGGGGAAGATAAGCGGAGGGGAAAAAGTGATGATTGTTTTTGAGCTCCACTGCCTCACCAGATGCCTCCAGGGCAATTGAATTTTCTACTTGAACGAGAGTCAGGAGGAGCAGGATGAGGGGGAGGCGATGGAGGAGAGGATGAGGAGGACCTTGGAGCGGCCGAGAGGGCATCTACGTGGAGCTGCTCAACATCGCCATCCGCAGGTGTGCCGTGCCGACGACGGAGGACCCCTTCCAGGCGAGGCCCCGGCCGGCCGGTCGCTGAGCCTTTCGTTGTTGTTGTTGTTGTTGTTGTTGTTGTTGTTGTTGTTGTTGTTGTTTTTTGTTGTTCCTATTCGCACGCTCTCATGATACGGTTTTCGCTATTCGTGTCTGTCCTTCAGCTCATCACCGCACTCCCGTCTGCGTCCCCCGCTCCGCTTGGCCTATCGCGTACTCGCTCAGACACACGCGCTGAGACCCACTCGCACGCAGACTCGCTCATTACCAGACTGTTCCCCACACTGAGACTTCTCTCGCTCAGACGCTAGCTTACGGTGAGGGGGCGGAGGGGGAGGGAGCGGAAGGAGAGGGAGAGCGGAGGGGGAGGGAGCGGAGGGGTAGGGAGGAAGAGGGGATGGGAGCGGGGGGGCGGGAGGTCAGGAGGCACTGCTCTGGAGAGGTGAAGTTTTCCGGCGGAGCTTTGGGGAACCAGTTCGGCCTGGGCTTGCGTTGATGTTTTACGTTTCGAGGCGGGTGTGTTGTGGGATTCAGGTACGGTTTCTTGGGTTCGACGAGGGCTTCAAGGATGTCCATTAAATTTTGTTTTCTTGTTGTGTGTGTGTGGCGGAGGGAGGTGATTTGAAAGGCCGTTGTTTGTCGATGTGGTTTGTTGGGTTCTCGAGGCGGCGCGGTGGGATGCTCGAAGATATGTTTCATGGTCCTCACAATCCTCATCATTGTCTCTTCTGCCCCGGCTCCTATTAATGTTCCTCCATTTCTTCCTCCTCCTCCTTCTCCTATGTACAACTGATGCCATGTTGTTTGTTTGGCTGATCGTTTGTGTCGTTGCTGCTGTTGATGTGTTGTTCTCTCTCTCTCTCTTTCTTTCTATTTCACTCTCGCTCTTCTTTTCCAACTTCCTACTCGTGCTCCTCACCTTGCTCCTCTCCCCTGAGTCGCTCATCTCTGGTTAGTTGTTGGTTATTGCATTCTCTCTGCCCGCCTGGTCTCCTGCCTGCCTGCCTGTCTGTCCGTGTCTTCCTGTCTGCCTGCCTGCCTGTCGTTCTGTCTGTCGGTCGGCTGCCTCACATTACCTTTTGTTTGTTTCTCACTCTCTCTCTCTCTCTCTCGCTCTCTCTCTCTCTCACTCTCTTTCTTTCTCTCTCTCTCTCTCTCTTTCTGTTTTCTATATTTCTCTCTCTTGCCCCCTCTTTGTAATATGTATGCGTTGTCCATCTCTCTGTACATGTTTGCGTATGTTAGCCAGCGTGAAGACCAACCAGCGTGTTTCTAACAACTTAGTGAGTACATTATACGTGGAGCACTATATGTGGGGCACTCTACGCGGTGCAATCGAGGTTGTGCAATGTATGCTGCACTCTCGATTGTCCCATATATAGTTGTACAGCATTTGTGGAGCAATCTATGTGGTGCAACCTATGTGGTGCAATTCAATGCCCGCAGTGAGTTGTCAACTCCACTGCTCGCGCAATCATCCCACCCACCCACCCACCCGCAACTTGGTTTGCAAAACCCATGCGACGGCGATTCCGATGAGTGCTTGGCGTCGTCTGGTGCATCTCTGCGGCCGCGCTAGCCCGCGCATGCTCGCGAGCGCAGCGACCAGCTAAGGCGCTGACCGCTGGGCACATCCAGCGGGCACTTCCGCGTGAGTCGGTGTCTTGGGCGGGCGCGGTGTCATAGCGACGCCGACAGCGGTAGACACGATGATGGGAGTAGCGATGATGGTGACGATGGTGGCGATGACGACGGCAAGGCCAATGACGGTGCCGATGTTGATCACGCCCGCCGATAAAGATATCGATGTCCTCGCGTCGGTGACGAAGGTTTTGGAAAAAGTTCGATATGCGCGCGCGGCCGATGCGTGCGAGTGGCCCGCGTGGTGTTATTTGACACGGATCGTGCCCCCCGCCAGCACACGCGCAAGGGCGTTCGGATGAGTTCGACCTGCGGCGCGGGAGGCCCGCCTGGCACAATCTGATGACTAGCTTGAAAACCAATGGCTGTCTTAAGAATTCACATGGGCGCGCGCAGGGGGCCCTGCCGGCTCCCCCTGCCTTCCGCTCTCCTCGCCCTCCCTCGCCTTCCTCGTGCCTGCGCCTTTCCCGCACCCTGAAGCACTTGCAGCGTCTCCGCAGAAACCATTGGGACACCGCGCGTTGATCTTCAGACCGCATGTGGTCACAAGGATTGCAGCGCCCAGGGAACTCGGGGGCTCATTGGCTCGTTTGGCTTTGCAGTTGTCTCCGTTTGAGCCGCATCGCCGACGAAGCCACGTCGGACAAAAGAAACGATTGAAGGATCACGTCGAGAACTACTTGATCTGAGGTTGTAGGGTTGAGGCCCTTCAGCGCCGCCCTGTGCAGGGCCGGTTCCGATGTCAGCGCGCTCACTTGCTCGTCTCCGCGCTCTGCCTGCTCCACCCTTGTCCTGCTCGTCTCCTTGCCATTTCTCCGCGGACGACCCTGTGTGCGCATTGCCTCGTTGACGTCTCCCGACGCGTCGTCGAACCTCGACCTGGGAATTCTACGGTGCATAGCTTATTTGCCCTCAGAACCGAAGAACTATGCGCCGTGCTGCGCTGGAGCGGGGCCTGATGGGAGTTCAGACATTGTTCGGTGCATAGGCGCCGTTCTCGTACTTCCAGGCTTGTCTGGGCAGGGCGCCCCGCAGCGAGGAGTGGGCGCTGGGGGGCCGCGGGGGGTCGCCGTGAAGGAGAGGGAGGGGCCCCCGGGGAAAGGGGTCCCAGGCCCGGGCTCTTCCCTAAGAATTTGAGCACTTCACCCCGGGCTGTTTTTGGAGGTTCCGTTGGCCCCAGGGGGTTCAGGAGTCGGACAACAATTACAGGATCGCTTTTCTTCGGTGCTCGTTTCCTTAGCGCTCAGGGCCGGGGAGGGGCGGGTGCGGGGCGGGGGGATTGAATAGGAGGAGGAGGAGGAGGAGGAGGAGGAGGAGGAGGAGGAGATGGAGATGGAGGAGGAGGAGGAGGAGAAGGATGAGGAGGAGGAGGAGGAGGAGGAGGAGGAGCAAGAGGAGGAGGAGGAGGAGGAGGAGGAGGGGAGGAGGAGGAGGAGGAGGAGGAGCAGGAGGAAGCGTGTGAGGAAGCTTTAGCTGGGCCGCAACAGCCGGCCCCGAGTGCGCGGGCGCGGACAGATTTTCATCTCTTCTTTCTCCTCCCTTCTTCCGCCTCTTTCTCTGCCTTCCCCTCCCCCCTCCCCCTGAATCTTTGCACGTGACCCCAAAGCTCTGGTGGCCTTAGCCGCCCTCTGACACAGCCGAGGTCTTCTGCGGGGCTGGCGATCCGCGCTTCCTAACTTCTCCCCTCTCCTGCTGCTACCGCCGTTCTCAGCGTGAAAGAAAAGGAAACGTGCGAGGAAGTTCTCCTGGTGATGTTAGTTTGGATGTTCTTGCTCCCCTGAGCACGTCGACCCTGCAGGGTCCACCAGCAGGACGACCGTACGCAGTCAAGTCTGCTCTCGGGCTTTCTCCAATCATTCTCACGCCTCCGGCATGCCTTTTTCAAACCGAGCAAAAACGTCATGACGGCAACGTTTCGATGCTCACGCGGACGTCTCGGGTCGACGATTGAGCCTTCCTTGGCGGCGCCCACGGCGCGTTGCGCGCTCCGGGCAGGGAGGGCCGAGCGCCAACCCACGGATCTGCGTGCACCTCCGAAGTCAACGCCTTTGGTCGCTATTCTGTCGCGGTGGCCCTCGGAGCAGCCATGCGGGCCCTCGGAAGAGCCGCTGGCCCCGAGTACAGAAGCCGCCTGCGTCGATCTAGGCGTTGGGCCGGGCCGCCCAGGCCGACGACGACTTCATCGCCTACCGGCGCAGCCTGCTGAGCCTCGTGGAGGACTGCCTGGACATCCTGACGCCGAACAGCGGCTTAGGCGTCGCATGCGTTCGCGGGAGGGGATTGCCATGAAGGAAGTAGGTCCTGAGGGAAACAGGTCCTGGACCCTGGGCCTTTTCCCCACGGGCAGCCATTCATCCTGAGCTGTTCTCTTACGGTCTTGGAGCCGTGGAGGTTCCCGAGGGCGGGGGGGGGGGGGCGTGTCGATGTCGGATCCCTGAGGGCTGCACGACCCCTTTCTTTCAACACCCGCTTGCTCCACTTCCAGGGCAAGGAGATGGGGCAGGAAAAGGCAGGGCCTCCCTCCCCTTCCCTGCTGCTGTTCCTCCTCCTTCTCCTCCTCCTCCTCCTCCTCCTCCTTCTCCTCCTCCTCCTCCTCCTCCTCCTCCTCCTCCTCCTCCTCCTCCTCCTCCCCCTCCCTCGTTCCCCGTGGGCCTCCTGGCATCTGGACGCAGCTCTGGCCTCCCCCGTCCTCTCCGTGCTCTCCCCCCCGTCGGCAGCCCTGGAACGGGCGAGCGAGCAGACCTCGAAAATCCAGGGGGGAAGCTCGTCCTCCGACGTCGAAAGGGGGGCCACGGCGAGCCTCCTGCGCCCCCGCCGTCGCTCGCGGCGGGCGCCTGTCTGCAGAGGCCGGGAGCTGCCCGCCCGCCCGCCGACCCCTCCTCGCCACCGTCCTCCTGCTCCTCCCGGCCCCTGCCCTGCCTGCCGCCGAAGGTTTCGGTCCAGGATTGCCCTCGCAAGCGTCTGTGCTTGCGGCTTCTGGCATCCTCGAATCAGAGCTGCCGAGGGCGAAGGGACTCGGGCAGCGGAGGGCTGCGGGGAGAGCGGACAATGAGTCTGCGTCCTCCGACGGCGAGCTCTTCTGATTTTGCACCCGCCTTCATGGCCGTCCACCACCACCTCTTCCTGCTCCTGAACCTCCTCTGCCCTCGTGGGGCGGCTGATCGAGGACGCCTGCGGCGAATCACCGCCGCCCCCTGCCTTGTAGGATGCGCCCATGTGTGTGTGTGTGTGTGTGTCTGTGTGGGCAAACGTTTGGGCAACGTGTGGCCACGCTATTCGACCATGCGTTCACCTAGCCGTTGTGGAAACCCTTCGAGGAAAAGTGGGGGAAGTAAGAGGAGGATGAGGAGAGGAAGGAGCAAGGATGACGACGAGAAGGAGGTGGCCTCTTGGGACCCTCTTGGGGTACTCATGGGGCCTTCAGGGAGCTTCCTGGGGACATCCTGGCAGGCTTCCTGGAAGCCTCTTTGGCCGTCTTAGGGCTCTCCTGGGCCCCAAGGCGCTGTCGGAAGGCGTCTTGGGGGCCTCTCTGACCCGACTTGGGGCTTCTTGGGGTGTTTCAGGGCCGTCCATGTTGGGTGTCTTGGAGGTCTCTGGGGCTGTCTTGGGCCCCTTTGTCGGGCCGTCTTGGAGGCCTCTTGGGGATGGTATGGGGCCTTCTTGGAGGCCTCCTGGGTGATCTTAGGGCGATCTTGGGGGCATCTTGGGCCGTCTTAGGCCGTCGGATAGCGAAACACAGAAAATAACATCCGATAATCTTCCCAACATTGGAGGAACATCAATGATGTTGGTTTCTTCAGGTCTTCTTGGAGAACCTCTTGGAGGCCTCTTGGGCCGCCTTGGAGGCTTCTTGCTTCTTGGGGGCCTCTTGGGCCGTCTGGGGTTGTCTTGAACGCTTCTTCGACGAACTTGGAGGCATCTTGGACGCTCTTTGGCTGTCTTGGAGGCCATCTCGGACCATCTTGGACGAACGTGAGGGCCATCTTGGCAGTGTTGGGGGCCATCTTGGGCCATCTTAGAGCCATCTGGGGCGGGAAAAGCGTTTGCAGCCACCTCTGCCAGAGCTTGGTCAAGATATCGGGCAAGTTGTTCCCCGAGTCGGTTTGGAAAGATTTCGGGGAACGCATGGGGGAGCAAGCAGAGGAGGAGGGGGAGGATGAGGAAACACGAGGAGGGGTAGTAGGAGGAGGATGAGGAGGAGGAGGAGGAGGAGGAGGAGGAGGAGGAGAAGGAGGAGGAGGAGGAGGAGGAGGAGGCGGCCTCTTGGGCGCCTCTTGGGGCCTCCTCGCCTTTGAGGGCCTTTGGGGGCTTCTTGGGGGCCTTTTTGGCCGCGTTAGGGCGTTCCTGGCTTGTCTGATGCCGTCGGAAGCCGTCTTGGGGGCCTGTCTGGGTCGTCGTGGGGCCCTCTTGGGGCATGTCAGGGGTTCTTAGAGGCCACCTTAGTCGAAAACGCACTGGTAAGCCAAGATATATGTTCCGCCTTAGGCGCTCCCATATCCCAGGCTTTGGCTCATACCGCATGAGCAAGAGAGCAAGATGAAGCATGGGATCTGGAGTAAAGGATAGAAGGGGCATCTTCAATAGAAAGGTCTTTTCCGATCTCAGATGCGAGTAGTGCGCCTCGGTGAGGCACAATCACATGTTCGGCCGGGCCCGGCTTGAGCCAGGCACGGCAGCGGTGCATGCTCGATTTACATCTCGCCTTTAACCCTCTCCGTTTAAAGTTGGAGGGGGAGGAGACGAGCAAGCACCGCATTTCTACATTACGCGGAAAAACAGTGCTAGGCAACAGCGGCTGCCTACAAGGCAAGGGCGCGCGAGTAGCCTCGCTACCGGCGAGTTTCCTCGCTACTAAAGCGCACCTGCGTGCGGGTTTCCCCGCTAGCTCGGGAGGCAGGGCCGTCCTGAGACGACCTGCCCGCCCTATACGGAGTATGTTTCTTCAGCTCGTGCTTGAAGGATTGCTGACCGGCCATTACCTGTAGGAGCAACGCGCGGTCAATACTACCTTTGGTATGACCATCGGCAGTCATATCCCGCGTGTCACACCATTGGACGCTTTCAACGATTCCGCGCTCCATCATCTGGCGGATCCAGCTGATGTGCCCAAGCAGAGTGCATTCTGTGGGCTTCTTCAGATCTTTGCTAGACAAAGACTTGAAGACAGACTCGGCATCAATAGTCAGAGTGACTTTGATACATAGACCACCCATTTCCAATATGTTCTTTAACTGTGTGGGGGTCAATGGTCCCGAGTGTAGCTCGTGGAGCGTTACAATGGTCGGGTAGCAGTCTTCCAAGTTGTGGGCTGCTGCCAGTGTTTCCGCAGAGTAGCTCGAACGCACCTGCAGTCGATGAGACTTGCAGTATGCGTCCACCAGGTGCACGACGGGTTTCCCCGCTTGCGTGTGGCCACGCCTCAGCAGGTTAGCCCCGCGGATACCGTAGCCTTTGACTTCGTCGTCTTCATCTCCGTTGAGACGACGATAGCCAGAATCGCTATGCAGGTCGACCTCTCCTGTTGGAGTCATAGCTTGATACACGATCTTCTTCGGACCTGCCTGCAATTTCCTGGTAACCGCGTTCAGTCGTCGTACCTGGATGTTTGTCGGTTCCTGGATACGTTGCAGTGAAACAACATAGACCATCAGCCATACCTGCGTGATCAACGCATAGGCTAGAGCGCCACGAAGACTGACGAACATATCAGAAATCGTCTTTGTCGCTTTGCTCTCAGGATCAGCGCCTGTGAGCTCTGGATGTGTGATAGGACGAAGTTGTTTGATGTATTCGTCCTGATCAAGAGTGACGCTCCCATCATCGGTCTTGTTGTACCGAACGGCACAATTTGTATATGTGTGCTTGTTCAGTTTGCACTTTCCAAACGTATCTTCAACACATTTGACGTACTTATCAATGGAATCTTCCTTCCCAGTCATATTGATGTCATCAACGTGTTTGGCTGTCAAGAGGTTTGAACTCATCTCGAACTCTTCATCGTATGAAGTAGGCTGTAGTCCAAAGCTCCTGGTGATGGACCTGGGCTTCAGCGAGAATGCCCTGGGAGCATCCTTCGTGCCAGTCCCCGGCTTCAGGCACCGAAGACAATGCTTTGATTCGTCGTATGATTCAAAACCTGGCAACGTGCGAAGGACAGCTGCTGACCCAGGAGGTAGTGTGAAGCACACCACACGCTCTTTGTCGCCCGTTGCCGCGGCGAGCTCGCTATAGGTCAGTCCCTTCAAGAAAGCCATGTTGATATCCAGGGAAGCGATGATCCAAGCTTTGTTGCATGCAGCAGAACTTGCGAGCAGTCTCTGGTTTGACCTCCTTGCCGTGCCAGAGAAGCTTTCGACATCGAAGGCTTCAATGTCCATGAAGCCACGAAGTACCAAGCGTAACCTGATCGTCCGTTCCATTTCGCCCTTCTCGTTCTTGACAAACTTCCATTTGTATACATAACGTGAAGTCATGATGTTCGACGCTTTGCTCAAGTCAGTCATCTGGAAGCATTTGTTGTCAAGCCAAGTCTTCAATTCTGTGTAAAGGGCTTTGGAAACTTTGACCGGATTCGCTTGAATGTCGGCCTTCGTGAGTAGGTCGTCTTCTTTGACGACCACGGCACGTTTGGAGGCAGCACTAACATATACTCGCATAGTTGTGACGCTGCTGTCATCCAACAATCGGTGTTGCTGCTCAGACAGGACGACCTTGGACATGTCTGCTGTGAAGCAAAGCTCGATGTACTTCCCGTGCTCGTCGGAGTCCAGATCATGGTGGCTGTCCGGATCAGTGGAGCACAGAGGAACGTAGTAAGAAGTGTCCATGTCGTATCCTGGCGGGTGACCCCGCACCGGCAAGTGGCCTTGCACATCTTCACAGGTCGTAGAGACCAACACGCACTGTGAGTCTGTCATGTATGTAGGAACTGTGTTCATGACTTCTTCTGTGTCAGCTTCAAGGAGTGTTCTGTCATCCATCAGTTCAGCATGCCATGACCCCAAGACAAAGACATCCAGATCCTCTTCTGTTTCCTCTATGATGGTCGGGAGCCGACCATCATTCGCCGCAGGAGGCTGCTCAGGAGCAGCTGCTGGAGGTGGCTCGCTTGGTGGTGGACCATCAGCGAGTTCCTCAAACTTAGTGAGGTCTCGGTCGAATCCAGCAGGCGGCTTCTTGCATTTAAGACACTGGATGATGCGTGAATGTGTAGACCCTGTGATGTCGTAGATGTTCAAGGCAGTGCCATCAGCT